GGAAAGAGTCCTTGAATAGAAACTGTGGGAAGTGGGTGATACTGGTTGATAACTGTTGACTTTTTAATGGCTTCCCTTCTATAATAAATGGTTACAAATAATTTACACTAGTCAGAAGAAATGAACAAAGTACACCAAAGGATTGCAGTATTTTTTATTGTGTTTGATGTCTTATTAATCCATAACATATTGTTAATTTGTGCTTGGTTTTCCAGTCCAAGTGTGAGTGAATGAGGTTCTGCATAATATTTTTTACTCATTGACTTTAGGATGAAAAAAAAATAAATGCACACTGCAATATTTTAGACTGCTATTTTAATAATAATTCTTAGAAAAATCCATCCTCTGGGTTTCTGTTAAACTATTAATAAACAAGAAGAATTTTGAGTTGAGTCAAAGCCATGCAAATAAAGTGAGGTCTCTTTTTAGCTTTGAACAGCAGGTGAAAGCCACGTGAACACTTTTTTTAAAGCGTATGTCTGCTCTGAAAAGTGTGAGTGCTGTTACAGTTTACTGTCTCTCTGATCCAAATCAAATGTATCAATTTAAAAATAGACCCTTTTTTCCCCCAACTTTTTTTCTGAGACCTGAAAAGCTCAACCTGCAATCAGAAAATCACATTAAATTATTTCTGGGTCACAGAAAAAATCACGCACGGTTCTTTCAGGCTCATATATCACTAGCATTAAATATTCTGAAAGGCAAACTTAATTGACATTTCTGTAGGTAAGATGTGAATAGCAGTAGAATTCTTATTTATCGAGATAATTATGTTGGCTCTGCAGAGCAGAGCAAGCTAACGAGCAAGGACAATCAGAAGTTGCTCTGTGATTGTGTTTTGGTGTACCTTGAGGAGAGATTGGCTGGGTGCAGAAGTCACGGCTGCGTGGCTTTTCAGGCAGCATCCTGCCCGAACAAAGGAAGATTGATTCCTGAAGAGCCACTCTGGAGAAAATGGCTTTGCCTTTAGCAAAGCTTCGAGAGTTTGTTTGTTCTCCAGGAAACTTTCTTTTCACAAAGACGGCGTAGGGAATCGAGTTTCCCTGCCTCTCCTGTGTGCAAAATCCAGTTGCGTATATGCAGGGAGGCAGGATTTGGCCTTGGATGTTGGCAAACCCCAGCTTGCCCAAAGGATTCGCTTTCCCCATTTCCTCCTAGTCAGAACAGGGTTTCTGCTGCTGCTTTGGCAGTGATGTCTGAGCAGGACACGAGTGACCTGAGAAACATCATGAACTTTAATGTTCATTAAACTTTAATTTAACAGAATGTAATTTACGGTCGTCTGTGGGGTTTAGAGACAAGATTCACCTTGTGTCTTTCCACCGGCCAGTGGGTACCTCTGACTTCGTAGTCTTTCCTGACAAAAGCTGCTGCCTACCTCTGAGCGTGCCTTACCCGTTTGCGTTCACTGTGGGTTGGTCCTGGAGCCAGCAGCAGCTTTTCCTGTAAAAATACTTTGGTAAAATACTCATCTGGGGAAATTTTTAGATAGTTCTACGTGTTCTTGCAACTGAAAGGGAACGAGCTGAGGAGCTGTGTACTTAAAGTGTGGAAAACAGAGCCTGAACTTGCAAGCTTTACATGTTCAAAGTATTTTCATTGACGTAAGTGGGAGAACTCCGGTAAGTAAGGATTATTCAGCTGAGTAAGGCTTGCTTGCTCAGATCATAATCAGGTGAACCTAAGCCACAAATGCCACACTCTTTATCTAAATTTAGCAGCTTCGAGTGTGAAAAATTCCACAGAGGTGCAGGTATTTATTAAGAACAAAATCTTGCCACACCACAGTCAGTGTCCGTAACTGGATTTTACTGGTGTCCTTTTTCTGGCATCCGTGCTGCTTTTCTGCCACGGGCGTGAGAGGCAGGAGCTCCCCTCCTTCACCCCTTCCCACCCCCTGACCTGGCGGCATTCCCAAGAGGAGGGGCTGGGCTGGCCCATGGAAATAAGCAACTGCAAATGCAAATCTACAGCTGGGCTCTGCGCATGAAAATGAGAGAGCCTTCCTCCGCACGGTACTGGGTAGTAGCGAAAACGGAGCATCTCCTCTTCTACAGGATGCAGTGAAACAGCTGCAAGTTTTGCCTATAAAATGTTACTAGTTGGGGTTATTTGTTATTCATACTGTACAAGAAAGTATCTGTCTCTACTCCTGCTGTTGTATTCTAAGGAAATTAGGTCAAATGTTGCCACGTTATTAACTTTTTTTTGTTCTGTGTGTCCGTTTGCTGTGTTAAAATCACTACTCCTTTATAGCTAACATACAAAGCAATTGTCTGGTGGCGCTCTGCCTGCCTGCAAGGGCATAACCCCACCCCAGAGTGTGAGAAATGCCGATCGTAGGCTTTTAAACACCACCGAGCAGTAAGAGTTCCCTCCGTGGAACTGCATCCCTGAGCAGCAACGTTTTGTTGTTAGTTTGTGTGGATGGAGGAGTTATTAAAATAGCAGAAATAGCTGGCATGTTTATTTTAAACAAGCATGAAAGAGACGTAAATTGTTACAGAACTGAAGAGCGGCAGTTGCTTAAGATACGCTGGTGAGGAAATAAATGTGATTAGAAGCTCTTCTGTTTGTGAATGTTTAAGCACAATCTTTTTCTCCTTCCCTAACTAGGACCTTAGGTGGCAACCCTCCGGTACCCTCTCCATCAGCTGAACCAGCTTCCTCGCAGGTCTTATCTCCAACTGCTGTTACCTCTCCAAACTTCTATCCCGAAACCTGGATTAGTATGGATCCATCTCAGGACTTCATCCAAGTGCCTGTTTTGAAAGAAGATAAAAGCTATAGAACCATTTATAACCTGTTTCACAAGACTGTGCCAGAGACCAAATATAAAATTTTGAAAATTCTGAGAGTGCAAAATCAGTTTCTTTGGGAGAAATACAAAAGGTAAGATAATGCTAATACTATTCTTCTACAGTAGTGGAAAAATGCCTTAGAATATGTACTTTGGGCTGCAAAATAGAAATTGATCATTAAGTAGAATACATAAACTCCAGATTTTCTGAAGAAAAGGAGCATCTTCAGTTGAACAACTTTATCTGAAAAGTATCTTACCCTGAAATTTCCTGTGTAAGAGGTTTAACAAACTGTCTGCTGATAACTTCTGTAAAATGCATCTTCACAGAAACTTAAAAATAAACCCAGGATATCTAGTTGAAAAATCTTTCCGTTCCCTTTCAAGACAAACTAGGGGGAATTGCTTTCATCAAACAATTCTGTATTGAAGATAGCCATCGGTGCCCCGGTTCCCCAGAACGTGGCGGCCCAGGGTCTTACAGTGGTCTCGCAAAGCCGAAATCCTATGTCAGTCAGGCCCATTCAAACCGAAGATGCTGTGTGTGAAAGTTACCGTCCATGACCACTTTGTACTGCCATGAAATGAGGTCTGTGGATTCTCTCTCCTGTCTCAGGAAATGCAGAATCTCAGGAGAAGTCGAGGGATGGGCTGTGGGAGCAGAGAGTGACTTTCTTACAGTGTTCATGCTGGTCTAGAGCACCTTCACCCACCCTGTCTCTCAGTAATTCCTCTCTGTGGCCTCTTCGGAAGCTAGAGTGGGATTTCACTTTTGCATTAATTTTGTTTTGGCTCTGAGGAAGATTTCCTTCTGCGTCCAAGGTGAAATGCAGGCAAAGAGAAGCAGGCACTGCTCAAGCTGCTTTGCCTTCACTGCTGTGCAGGTGAGAGAGCTCTGCCTCCAGCAGTGTCAGCTCAAGTCCCTTCCAAAATACTTACTTCACACACGAGCTCTGCTGGACAGTGGAAGACCCACTCTGCTATCCATAGAGAAATGTTTCCATGTCTCCTTTTGTAGATCTACTATTCCAGAGGATAGTACTGGTACTTTAAGAGCTGTAGTGAAAAGTGCTTTTCCCTTGCAGCTCTGCAATGAATATTCATCTTCACTTTCCATTTTCTATTCCAGGAAAAAGGAATATATGTCAAAAAAAATGACTGGGCTTGACAGGATAATGAACGAAAGGCATTTGTTCCACGGCACCTCCCAGGACGTGGTGGACGGAATCTGCAAGCACAACTTCGACCCACGCGTCTGTGGGAAGCATGCCACCATGTTTGGACAGGGCAGTTACTTTGCCAGGAAGGCAAGCTATTCCCATAACTTTTCCAAAAGGTCACCCAAAGGAGTTCATTACATGTTCCTGGCGAAGGTGCTGACAGGGAGGTACACGGTGGGTAACCACACCATGAGGAGACCTCCGCCGGTGAACCCCGGCAGCATTACCAGCGACCTCTACGACTCCTGCGTGGACAATTACTTTGAGCCACAGATTTTTGTCATTTTTAATGATGATCAGAGCTACCCTTATTTTATTATCCAATATGAAGAAGTTAGCAACACTGTCGCCATTTGAAAACTTGTGCTGCTAAATTATTAATTTTAATAAACTCTCTTATCTGGCATTTGTAGCAGTTTTTGTGGGAAAAAAAAAAAGGACATTGTAGAACTGATTAAATTACTTGCTTGGAAGGAAGTAAATCTCAAAAGATAGAAAGGAAGATCTGAAGTGACCAATTGTGCACTTGCTGTTTGATTATGTATGTGCAAATTGTAAATATTTTTCCATTGTTTATAGTTGAAAATCTGTGCCTTTTGTTATAAAACACTGTTTATTTATGTTAGTAAATATTCATGTTTAAAAGCGCGTATGTGTGTGTATAATTTCAGTTGCAGTCTGTGTGTATTAGAGCAGCTAGAAAATTTCTTACGACCTGATCTTGAAATCTTAAGTATGGCCATTTCCAGATTATCAGAACCAGATAATTTTCCTCTTGAGTGTATTTAATCAGAGATCCTCCCAACCACTATTTTTTATTACTATATTTCAGAAAGATTGGGAGAGATTACAAAACTAACATCCTGTTCATACTTGGGATTATTTAACAGGACCACACAAATAAAGATCATTTTCTAAACTCAGTAAAGTAAAATGAGGAAGAGGTTAGCGTGGCTCGCAGTCCGTGAGGGCTTAGAGCAGCGCACGGGACGCCGTGGCGGGGTGGGAAGGGCGAGAGCCGGGTCTGTGCCATCGAACCTGCCCACAGCCG